GTGTTTTCGATATCTGGGTGTCCGGTTTCTGACATCGATACTATCTATGGAATCGATATGCGGGTGTCTATTTCTCACATCGATCCTATCTATTCGGATATCTAAATCACTAACTGCGCGCCCGCCGCTGGGTCTGACGTAGGAGTCGCGACCGGCCCTAAGCCAATCCTATCCTATTCAGATGTCAGAAACAGATGTTTCTGACATCCGTTTCTGTTTCTCAAATTTGTTGATCGATTATCGAAAATCAAAAATTTATTATCGAACGATGATCCATCTTCGACCGATGATCGATCATCGGCCGATAGACGATCAGTGCCACGCAGTTGTCAAGTGAAACCACGTGACAACTGCGAATATTAATTACTGCGAAAAAGGCTTTTAAAATACTTGCGGCTGGGCCGGTTTCGAACCAGCGACCCTTTCGTTCAGTAGCCCGATGCGGTACCCCTGCGCCGCAAAGGGAAGGGAATATTCAATACTTAGACTTTGTGTGCAATCGTGGGTAGTACTAGGGTTCGCCGCTCTGTTACGCTCTGTCAATTCAGTTTATAGTTGGTGAAGCTTCCACAAGGTGGCGCTTGAGGTCGCCGTCGCCACACCAATCAGCGTACTCCCCGCCTACCTCGTTGACTCGTGGAAAAGTGTGAGGACACGCCGCTGGACGGCGCCATGTGCAGTGTGGTTGGTGATATTCCCACAAGATGTCGCGAGTCGTGCGGCTTATCTTATCGGTGACCTTCAATCTGTTGACAGGTTCGTAAGGTGTCGTATAACCCAGGCAACGAACTCTCTATGTCATTCGTGTGGTGAAGATCGAACTGTCGAGATGTTTTCGAGCGGGCGTCTGACTAGTTGCACAGGAGAACACACTCGCTGGAGCGAGATAGAAGTCTGCACTGGAGACCGTAAGACAAACAACGACTTCTTTGTGACTGCACTGGAACTGCTCATCGACCTGATTGTGTTCGGAAAGTTCCCTCCCTACGAAGTGGACCCAGTTGTGTTCCGTGTAGTGTCCCGCGTGTACGAGCACTACGAGGGAAAGTACAAGGAGTGGCCATCGCACGAGGGTCCTTTCACATTCTTGTCGGGATGGGTGAGCCAGGTGATGTCCAGAGTGACCGAAGCGGAAACCACGGACGTGGTGGAGTTCCTCTCGGACACGGTGCATATCATCAAGCGGTCAGTGCGGTGCAAGCATCACATCGAAGCAACCTACGTGCATCGGCTGGCCGCGGATGTTCTTCGATACAGGCTGGTCACTGCGGATAGTGTGGACTCGTGACAATAAATTACCATCTTAATTTATTTGTCTTTCATTTTGTCCGATAGAAAAGATCGGGCCTCGCTATCGGTCCGGTCAGTCTGGTGTTCACCGAGTGCAGGATCGGTCTTTAGAATGAGCGATCAATTTTATGTGAACCTTTTCTCCAATGCCTCCAGTGACATATTTCACGATAATACTTTAAGTAAGTTTAAGGTACAGCTGTCCCAACCTATCCTTTTAAATGAACCGTATGAGGTCGCCCTAGAGGAATTAAATTTTCCATTTAGCATCAAGAATGTGACGAGGCCATCTAACGAGATCTATTTGGTCAGACCATCGGACGCTGGGCAAGTGGAATCCAGCAAAAAGATTCGAATCCCTGCAAAACAAGACGTCCTCTCGTTGTTGAGAAGTGGGTTGAGAGAATTGTTCGGTCCCAAAGCGAGCCTCGATCGAAAAGAAAGCTTTTATTTCCTAACCTTCCAGAGAAACAACGCTTTGCACATGTCGTCTCTCTTAGCCAAAAAACTTGGCTTTTCAGAGCAAATATTTGGTATAGGTCAGTCTATGGAAGGCCGTCCCGTAGAGCAATTGACGTTCGATAAAGAGGTTGAGATAGAGCTGACAAGAGTTAAACACGTCGTGACACAGGACCGTATTGAGATCCTCGAGTGCTTCTACGAATCGGCAGAACACTTCATTGATGCGATAAACAGTGCGTACCAATCTACAGTCAAACTCCCTCCCTCAAAAATGCTGCTTCGTCATAGCCCCTACATAAAACTCGTAGCGTTGCAGTTGCATCACAATGGATATATATTGATCAATCAGCACTTGTCACACATGCTCGGATTTGGTGAAAAGACCGTGTATACCCCCTTTACCGTAACAGATCGTGAAGTCATATTATATCCAAATAATTACATTTTTACGTATTGCGATATCATAGAAGCGGAACACGTTGGTGACGTGAAAGCCCCTCTTTTGAGAGTCGTACCTTTCGTGGTGGCCAAGCGAAATGAGGTGATATCGTATTCATTCAATTTGTTACAATATAAGAGGGTGATCGTAAAGAAAGTCAACACCATTTGTCTGGAGCTCGTTGGTGAGAAAGGAACTTACATTCCATTTCTAGACGAATCCGGTCCTGTCGCGGCAACCCTGAATTTTAGAAAATGCACGTAAAGTCTGCACCGTGCTGTGTGGACCATTTTTCCGGTTCCGGAGAGAAATATTTGCCGCATTTTGTGTCCGGGCCTGTGTTCCAAGTGGGGAGCGGTCTACTGTCCGACATATATCAAAGAATATCGCCGGTGTTTACAAAAAGAGTAGCTCCGTACCTCGGTAGAAAACTCGTGGCCACCGGCAGAGACGTAGCAGAGCTCGTCAAACAAGGTTCCTCACTTCGGGATGCCCTCAAAAAAGGAATTGGCAAGACGTAGCGAAACACGAGGGACGAGCTTCTGCAAAAGCTCTCCGGTGCAGGTCATAAAAGAAAGAAGACCGAAAAACCTTCCTCAGTCTACCCACGAGAAAAGAGACGGAAGGTTTTGGACTTTTTTGATACGTAGAGAATGTCGAGCGGTATCTTTACCCTCCACGAACGATCCTGTTTGTGTACAACCGGCGAACTAGAACTTTTCTCGCTGCTGCCTACTTCGTTTGTCCTGGAAAAATCGGAATATCTTGAGTTCTTTCCCGTCGCGAGTGCAACCTACACGTCCGTTTTGGAATTTCACGTCCCTTCTTTGGGTCCACACTTTTACGATTTGAAATCGAGCTTCCTTCACATTCAATCTAAAATCGTTCGAGCTAATGGCGATCCTGCAGGCACTGTTGCACTCGACGGGTCGGTTACGAACGATAAACTGATTCCGGTTCAGTCCTTTGGAAGTTCCCTCTTTCAATACCTACACGTTTATCTGAATCAAACTCTTGTCAGCCAGTACGAAAACTATGCCTATCGTTCATATCTTGATATTCTGCTTAATGCAAACCAGGTAAGTAGAGATCATTTTCTTTCTGCGATGCTCTACGAAAAGGATCCAGTCAGTTCACCGGAAAAGCTGGAAATTACACCGGATGCCAAGGGACTTGCCGCTCGCTTCAAGCGTACCGAGGGATCTAACCTTTGCGACCTGTTCTGTCCGATATTCAGCGACATTTGCCAGCAAGAAAAGCTCCTACTTAATGGCGTGGACATCCGCATCGTGCTGCGACAAAATACCGAAGATTTCAGACTCTTGGCTGCTTCGACGATTCAACAAAAGCACATTGTTCAGCTTCCTCGCATCGTTCTGTACATTCGACGAGTCCAAGTGGCCCCGACAGTTCTTGTCGGAATCGAAAGGCGACTGCAATCTACTCGCGCATCATACCTGTTACGTGGAGTGGAGATCAAAACCAGAACCGTTTCTCCCGGTGTGTCACATATCGTTCTCGACGACCTCTATTCTCATCGGGTTCCATCTAAGCTCGTCATCGCGTTCGTAAATAGTGAATCGTTTCAGGAAAGACGCGAACACGACCCCTTCAAATTTGAACACTTCAATCTGAAAACGGCCGTACTAGACATTGGTGGGTCTCAGCGGACGGAAAAGTTCGATTTTAATCAGGATCTTTATGAAGGCCTATATGAACTTCCTGCATCGACTCAATCGAAAAGACGTTCCGTTCTCTAAAGGTGCCTTCTCAAAAGACTCTTTTCTTCTCTACTACACTTTGACTCCCGACAGGAAAGAGCAGAGTTTATGTCCGATCCTCACAGCCAATGTGAGGCTCACCCTGACTTTCAAACAAGACCGAAATAAGGCAGTCACAATCCTGTTCATGTCAGAAACACCACGCGTTTTGGAAATTGACAAGGAGAGACGGGTCAGGATCGCTAATTGAAGAAATCGAAGAACACGAATTTTATTCGGTGTTCGCAGGCAACCAGTGTACGCGACCCTGGTTTCGCGGTACTTTTTTTTTTTGCGACGAGATTGGCCAGGAGAGAGCAAGCCAGGGTCTTTACGTACTTAACACGGCACCGAGATCATCTTCCGGCGAACACTCGTTTCTTTTTTTCATATCTCCAAAGGACAATTCGATTAGTTATTTTGACAGTTTTGGTATGATTCCAATACACGAAGAATTTTACGACTTTATCGGAAATGTTTCCAGCTTCTTGTTCAAAAAAAGAGAATTCAAGGATTCAAGTCAAATACGTGTGGACTTTACTGTCTATACGTCGGCGCTCTCCTGTGTTGTGGTGTACCACTCCGCGAATGCAACAAGTCGTTTTCGCCAACCGATCATCGATGGAACGATCGCTTGATATCTGTACTTGTGCGGATACAATTTCCATCTCCCAAGTTAGAGCGATCCTGCTGCAGCGTTTTGTAATCTCTTTTCAGTCAAATAAAAACAAACACAAAAAGTAAAGCATGAATCGTTTTATTGCATGGATTCATACGCATTGAAAACGCTATACATAGAAAACAGACATGAATACACACTTACAATATAACATATTATAAGAATACATTAACATAATAACATTTTATCGCGGGGCAACATCTCAAGAGTCTGATAGAAAAAAAAAATTCAAAATAATAAAAATTACAGTGTCGGAATAACATTTGTATCGAGTACATAGGGTGGGGGCGACATTTCCAAGATTGGAAACATATCATTACTCCCTTCCTCCCAAAAGAAAAAAAGAATATACACTGCCGCCATTACATTTTTACCGAACACACCCGGTTGTCTTGGAGGAGGACATTTCGCCGAGTCTGAAATGTCCATAAGAAAGCGTCGAAAGTCCGTTGTCTTCGATAAAACGCTTGTTGTCGAAAGGGTTCAATCCAATTTTTTCTACGACGACACTTTTGTTTTCATTTTGCTTACGAGCAATGATTCTTTGGGTGATAGTGTGCAGAGTTTGTGTCTCGAGAGTCTGAAGGTAAAGATCGTAAGTTAGCTTACGCCACTCGCATCTTTTCACTCTTCTAGCCCTCACACAATGTTCTTGAGATTCTAGATCGAGCGCATAGAGTTTCGGTTTAAGACAGACAAATCCTAGAATGTGATCTTTCGGCAGCTCGTTTTTGAAAACTCCAAGTCGCATTTTGTGTTGAAGCGAATACAAGGCGTGCTCCGACGGGTAACCGGAATTATCTAGGTGGCTCTCAGTAAGCTCTGCGAGTCTCTCGTCGACGTCCCGACCGCTGAATTGGAGGATAAATGAATCCGTGTCGCTATATGCAGCGCGAGCATCCGGGAAAACTCTCCTGATCTGATTATAGAGGAAATCGTACATGACGATCTTCGACATCTCTAGGATAAAGAAACCTGCGTATATGGGCTTGTTCAGGCGCAAAGTTTTCTGTGAAAATTGAAATAGGACCACGTTCGGACTGATCGCTGTAAATTGTCTAAGGTTAGGTTTTTGCAGATTTTTTACGACTTCGTTCTCAGAAACGCTACTGACAATGTCGTTGTACTGGCGAGGATTTTCGATCGTCTTTCCGTAGATCGAGTTCATAAAGAGCTTTGACAGATTCTTCTGAAAGGTGTTGGTAGCCTGCTTGCGCAGATCGTGATTGAAGTCGATAAATTCTTTTAGAAAGGCTCGCTGGGAAAACTTCAGGACGCGATGAATCATCTTCAGTTTTAACCCTAGCTGCAGGTACAACCTTAGGTTTCGGAAATGAATAACGTAATTACGTTTGAGAAATAGTGTTAAAAGAAGCTTACGTTCAGATTCTCTCTCGGGTAGGTCAAATTTTTTTACTAGCACCTTTTGAAAAGACGAAAGCCATTCGAAAGGAACCTCTCGTTTTTCCGGAGCCAAAGGAAAGTCTGCATGCGAGTCGTGTAGTTCCTCTGGATAGTCTAGGTCTACCTCCATGATGTAACCAGTGGGTGAGTCGTCTGAAACCTGAGCGAGCTGAAGGGCATTGATTTCTTCGCGATCGAGCAATCGGAAATCCCTGTACGGAAGTGATTGTCTCATCGTTGACGCGTAAAGACCGTTCACATCGAGGTCGAACATTTGAGAAGCTTCTTTGTTAGGATCGAACAAGTCGCTGGTTGGAACGTTGGCTCTCGCATGTCGAACTGCACATTGCACGATTCCTCCTCGTAAACCCGATTTGATAAAAAGATATGCGTCGACGTCGCTGAGCAATTCAAGTTTGATTTTTGTTTGCTTAAGCGCACAGGCCAAGCTGAGGGCAGGAAGCGACACGAAATGCAGGGGATTGATCTCGTAGGTTTCCAGGGTCCATTTCCTAAAATTTTGCATTACGTCGGATAGAAGTAAGCAGTCGAGTTTCAAATAGCAGTCACTGTACTCTCCCACGTTTTTTAACTTAAACGTGTCAAAAACGGCCTGGGCATGGTGATAATCCGTCTCAGAAATGTGAGCGTCGTTAAGCTTGTTGTAAAACGACTCACGTGGTGGCAACTCGGGCTCATCGTAGACGCTGAAGTCGGTTATGTAATCGTATGGAAACACACCCTTACGTGCCAGCAACTCAATATGTTGAAGGAACGCTTCACGAAGGCAGCGAAAGTTTTCCAAGCCTTTGGAATGGAGGTCCTGCACAAGTGCGTCTAAGCTCGCGGGGAGGAAAGCTAGACTGTCGAGAAACCGTAGGTTACCCACGTCGAGTCGCTTAAACTGTTGACAGCTACTGGCGAGAACCTTGATATCTCTCGACTCGAATAAATGTAGTTTCGGTAAAATAAAGGCAAGGTCGTACGAGTGGTTGCGTGCAACCAGGGGATTGACTTTTTTGTTATTCCTATCGTTTAAGTTACAGCCTTGGCACAGCCTGTAAGGTCCGGTAAAATGATCGTTGTCCTTTCTTTTACGTTTGTCGAACGACTCACCACATACATCACAGGGACTGTCGGAGTTCTCTGTCTTTTTGACCGTCGTGAGATCGCTCCTACTCCACTCGGGAATGAGTCTGGACATTTGATTGAGAGTTGAAATGAACTGCTCGACACAATCCTCGCCTCGATACAAGAAATGTTCCATGATTCGTGAGTCTGTAGCACGAATCACTAGAACACAAAACGAGCTGGGTACGTGACTCTTGTAAACGAAACGTGACCCGTGTTTTCCGGTTTCAAGATGGCCTCAAAGTCGTAGACGCAGAAGTATGGGAAAGGCTCCATGAGGTGTGTGTTACGGAAATAAAGCGCGTCCCCTTTTTTAGGAGAGACCGTTCGGACTGGCTTTTTTTGTTACACAAAGCGAAATGACTGGTTAGAGAAGTCCGAAAACGAAAACCCATCATGCATCTTTTACAACGGAATCGGTAGCTAGCCCTGTTTTCGAAAAGCCCGGCGAAGTTGGTAATGACGGCAAAGTGATCGTCAATCAAAAGCAAATCTACATGTTTTTCCAACTCGTGATCGTTGATTTTGAGAGGGTAGACAACCTTATTTTCCCGGTCATAACCGTACACCTTGATGGACACGCGATTGTTTCTTTCGAAAGACTCTACATCTTCTGGAAACGTCACTGGATAGTTCGTAGGAAACGAATATTTGCTCAGATGGTCCCTGTATGAGGACGCTCTCGTTTTATGTTGAGTGGGATGCAACCCCGCAAGCACGGAAAAGGTGAAGCACATTTTTCTTTCAGAGTCCTTCATGCGTTCGTTCACATTCAAAATACACTGTTTGTTTGCCAGTTCCTTCGGCAAAGTGAAACTTTGACATCCGAACGTCTCGGGAACGAAACGTCCAACTGTGATGCTACACTGTTGGATGGCGACGAGCGCGAAACCCGACCCACGTTCCTGATACTGCTCTAGACGGGCGTTTATCTCGCCGCAGGCAAGCTGCAGGGCGCCGGCGATGTTACCCTCGGCCCAGATCGTGGAACGAAAGAGTGAAAGTAATGCACGCTAAAGTCAAATTCACCTTCGGAGTTAAGTCGTGTCAGTTCCGTGGTTAACGTGATAAAAAAACGCAGCGGCATTCCGTAATGTCTAAACATGTTGGACATTGCATCTGAGTGATGACGGAACAGCGTAGAGACGTCGTGAGCCTCGTCGTCGCGCTCGTGCAAATGCATATCATAGCGCATCGTAAAGTTTCGAAAAGCGCAGAGGCCTTCACAAAATAGGGAACATTCTGTACTAGAGCCAGATGAACTTGTAATGCCTCTGCGCTGAAATATTGTTGCCTTTCCCGTACGTTACACAAATGACAGGTTACCATTTCCCAGAAATAAAAGAAAAGACACCTAAATGTCCAACTTCGAGAAGACAATGATGGGTGACCGTCCGTCGCCCTTGCTTTTCTGCAGAACTAATCCCGTCATGTGACGCATACTTTCAAGCTCTTCGTCACTGAGCTCTGAAAAGCGTTTATGCAAAAATACCTTGACAATGTCGTCTGGCAGCTGGAGGGATACGAAGACGGACGGCCCGTAACGTGTGTCCAAACGTGCAATGTCTAACACAGTCAGATTGACATCAGACGGAATCAGATACATCTTAACAAAGTTTGACGGCGATTTCAAGGAGTTAAGCTTGCCCACGAGGTTCTCCATCATTGGGTCGGCGGTGGCGGCAGTGGGCTCCTGTAATAAAAATGTATGTTAAAAAACAAAATAAACGCGTTTCAAATATTTTTTCCCCTCCCCTCACGTGTAGTGGCACGCTCTGAAGAAACGGTGGACGTCCGTCAGTTTTATAGCAACCTGTTTACGAAACGATTGGCACCGCGAGACATGTCTCGACGTGACAGCCTCCACAATCGCGAATTTGACACCGTGCATCGTATTAGGTTTCTGTTGTTTCCGCTCTTCGCTTTAAAGCAATCTGTTTACGATCTGACGAACGGCAGGGCTTGTTAAGTGGGAATTCGACACCAGAGCAGTTGCGGGTCCAAGGGGGGGGGGGGGGGGGGGGGGCGGTGGGGGCGATCGCCCCTCCCCCCCCCCAAACGCCTCGCCAGGCAGCCCCCCCCCCCCCCCCCCCCCACCCCCCGGGGTTCTTCGTCAGCTCGAAGAAAAAACGTAGGCAATCGACGCGAGAAACAAAAGGTTAAAACAGCGGTGGGTGGACGCGCCTGCTGGGCGCTTCCAAAGTGGGGTTTATCTCCGTCGGGAAGACGTTGATCTTCCCGACGGAGATCTTCCCGACGGAGATCTTCCCGACGGTTTATCTCCGTCGGGAAGATCTCTGTCGGGAAGTGTTGTTTATCTCCGTCTTCCCTACAGGGATTGCGCTAGGAGTTTCGAAGTGGAGAGACAGTGGGGAGGCGCACCAAATATCAGGGTCCTCGACTGCAGGCACACTTCCAAACAAGGCCAGCACGTCGAGCACGGGGGGGAAATACCTTGCTCTCTCTCTCTCTCTGTCTCCCTCTCTCTCTTTAGGGGTTGTCTGCGAAAAATTTGTGCCCTGAAAGCTCCCAAACGCAGACGCCAAGCAGCCTTCCTCAAAGGTAGCGGATTATCCTTCCTCTCTAGCGGCCGCCTTTTCATCACTTTTCGTTTGATGGTTTCTTCGTGGCTCTGGGCTTGTCTTTTGGCATGTCTTTTTTGGCTTGCTTTGAGATGCTGTCGCCCACGGGCTCACTAAAGGTATCTTATTGGCACAGTGTGCTGATTGCCAAGGGAAGTGCGGAGGGGACGTACCGGGAGGAGACGTTCCAGAGGGAAGGGGGGGGGGGGGGTATGCAGCTTGTACAACCAGGTGACCAGTTGCTTTTCTTCTCAACTGAGAGAGGAAGCAAATGCTCTGGGTACAGTGCAGTCTAGGTCTGAGCTTCTCCTGAAGACGCTCCGGACCTCCCCACGACCTTGCCTTAAACATAAGCCCGCTTTCGTCCTCGCCTCCATCCCTCACTGGGGATCAGCGCCGCAGCGCGGAATACAGAAAGAAGCCGACGAGCGCCAGAAGGGGGAGATGTTTCCTCTGATGGGCTTCATACTGCCTGCGGTACGACTTCTCGTGGCGGGAAGCTAATAAAAGAAAGATAAACGGTACGAGCACTCTAAAGGCTGGACGCTGCTTACACGGGGTCCTCAAGCCGACGCCGTAGGCATTTATTTGTATACAATGCCGTTTCAACTTAGGGTGGCGGGACATATTTTAAGAAAGGCGCCCGCTATCCCTTGTCTCCCCTTGGCGCCGTCTTTTCTAGTTAAACGCGGCTTCTGTGGATTGACGGCAGAGCTTTCGCGCGGCTTTGCAGGAGCGAATATGTGTGTGTCGAACGGATTGGGGAAAACGAGCCCTTTCAAAGATGCGAGCATACATAAATTAAATAGACAGTGCCTGTGCCCGTTCGAGTGAACACCGACTCCCAAACATCCATGCTGCAGTCGTCATCGGCCTTTAGCCTAGTTAAGATTCGCCGACCTTACAACCGCTCTGCCCTATCATATCTCTGCACCTGTCCTCTCGACCCTCACGATTGAGCTAACTACCCAGCAACACGTAAGTGTTCCTTTGGTACAGAAAATATCCAGACGAAGTGCAATTGAATATAGTTTGAAAGGATCCATTGCTGGTTTAAGGTCTTGTCTAAGTTCAAAAGCTATAGTTGCCGAACTGCAACATGCTTTCAAAAATTTTCAACAATTATTCGCTTTCGTTCTCTCAAGTTGCATCCAGAACACGTGAAAACACGAGTTTGGGTTGGCAATGCCGCATGTGCTGCGCTCTGGACATTCCAAATATGCGGCGAACAACCGACGAACTTGCGTGGAAGTGTTCGTTTCGCTTGCTGCGTTAGCAGTGTTTTGACGCCGCGAGCAGCGTCGAAGCCGCCGGGCCATTTTTGTCGCTTGTTTGCAACGTACTCGCTCCGCTGATTTAAGCCGCTCTTCCCGTTGCCGCAGCAGTTGAGCACTAGCTCCAACCAGAATGTCTGCCAATGCAATGTCTTTAAGATGCCCTAAATCGACTGCCCACGTAGTGTCGGTGTGAAACCCATGTTTCAGAAAGGATAGTGTCACCACAATTTTCGAGATACTTACCTCTAGCGTGGTCACCCGAAAGGTTTTAATTCAAAGAGTTCATCCCCGACAGATAAGCCGATACAAAAGCTCCCAAGATCTATATTATGTTATCCGAGTTTACTAAAAATGATTACTCCACAAAAAAATATAAACACTCCCCCCCCCCCCCCCCCCCCGCCGTTTTACACCGAGGAACCGCGCCCCTTAAAATGGAGGTCTGGATCCGTCCCTGCACCAGGGTCGGTTGCTTCGAGTTTATGGTTATGATAAGCCAGCGTGAGGAAGCTGGCGGGTCGTCTCATCGTGTATTTTTGTAAGGAAAGTGGTAAATGTATCCGGCGTACATAGAAAGGTGTAGATACACTGCCTTTCACATTTGCAAACCGGCCGTCATGACGGTCGTTCTCAATAAATTCCAATTTGAGGCGCCCGCGTCTGTAACAATGATATGTTCTTTGAAACCAGGCAAAAGCACGTATATTCGTAAATTGTTGCATTATAGAAAGGAAATGTTTGATAAGAAGTTGGACGTCATTTTCTACGTGTACGTTTACAAGCAACCGTTTTTTAAAGATCACCCGGACGTTGTGTTCACTAAGAACATTCCACAAAATTTGAATCCCGAGACAAACTCACTAATTATTTTCGACGACTTTCTCCCTAATAGGACAAAACTGAAGGAGATATGCGAGTATTTCATAGGCGCTGCTTACCACTATAACGCCTGCGTCATTTTCATTACTCAGAACATGTTTCACCAAGATTCATACTTTCGAAGAATCAGCTTAAATTCTACGGCTCTAATGATATTCCGATTGTTGAGGATTGTCGATCAACTCCAGGTTCTATCTCGACAGCTCTTTGGAGTGAAGAGAGGGCATGTCCTTCCGGGTATATATTCGGACGCGTGTAAAACACCATTCAGTTACATCCTGATCGACCTGTCGCAAACTTGCCCCGATAATTTCCCCGTGAGAACAAGGATCTTGCCGGACGAGGGTCCAGAAGTCGTCTACGACACTTCCTCATGAATCGTTTGAAGGGACATGCAC